GCAGCCCGAGGAGGGCCCGGGCGCGGGGCCCGGCGCGTGCAGCCTGCACCTCAGCGAGCGCGCCGACTGGCAGTACTCGCAGCGCGAGCTGGACGCTGTGGAGGTCTTCTTCTCGCGCACCGCCCGGGACAACCGACTCGGCTGCATGTTCGTGCGCTGCGCGCCCTCCAGCCGCTACACGCTGCTGTTCTCGCACGGCAACGCCGTGGACCTGGGCCAGATGTGCAGCTTCTACATCGGCCTCGGCTCGCGCATCAACTGCAACATCTTTTCCTACGACTACTCGGGCTACGGCGTCAGCTCGGGCAAGCCTTCCGAGAAGAATCTCTATGCCGACATCGACGCCGCGTGGCAAGCGCTGCGCACCCGGTGAGCCCGGTGGGGTCGTCAGGCCCGGCATGCAGCCATGGAGAGGCGGGGTGCGGGTCTTCTGGGGGTCTCTTGGGGAGGGGGGCTTATAGGAAGAGGGGCCCCGCCTCCAGTGCCGTGAGCGAGCGGAGAGCCCCCGGCCGCAGTGTTTTTTTTTTTTTTTCTTCTCCATCACTCCACAAACCCCGCCAGCTCTGAGGTTCTGGGATGAGACTCGGAGGATTTTGCCCACTTCGGCACGCCTTAGTCCTCCGTGCCCTGAGTCTTTTGTGGCTCAGGTCTCCGCAAGTGGCAGCGCGGTGGTGCTTAGGTACCGGGCGGAAAGGAGCAACTTGGTTTGTGTTGAGTTTGTGTGAGCTGGCGGTCAGAGGCTGAAGTGACCTTGGGCAAGGCACACGAGTCTCTAGACCTCTGTTCCCTTCCCTGTGAAATAAGGGGTGAGGCAGGATGACCTCCAAAAGGGCTTTCCGGTTGTAAAGTGCTCTGCGGGGCAGTGTTTGGCACCCTTGGAGGCAGCTGGAGTGTCGCACGGTGCGAGGAGTTTGCCTCCCGGTGGGGCAGAGTAGTTGGTACTGTGTAGGCAGGAAGTTCTCTGGTGGCTGTTGGCCTGGCACCTTCCACACAGCCTCAGTAACAGCCCAGAGAGAGTTTGAATCTACAGGATTTGAGGAATCTCGTGACCTTGAATTAACATTCACAGGACTGCAAAGTATTTACCGAAGGCCTTTTTTTGTGCCAGACACAAATTGAGGTATGGTTTAGGGGGTTAGACCTGGTGAAACAAACAAACAAAAAGCTTGGATTTTATTCTCAACTTAGAAGTTTGGTAAGTGGGCAGCCCCAGTCACCTGTTAGTGCTTCAGTTTTGATATTTGTGACCTTTCCCACTTAGACCTCATAGCAGTAGTGGTGAAAATACCTCAGGTCCTGCCGTGAAGAGACTTGATTTCTTCAGATGAAAGTATCCCCAGAAAAAGTACAGTGAGCACTGTTGCTGCTGTGGACATTTAGTTTTTGTCTGTTTGCTTGACTTATTTGCCAACATTGATGATTCTGTCTCCATTCATGTTTATGTGTATACTGGGAAAATGGCTTGTCCAACAGGGAAGTACTTAATGTTTAGCATGTGTTGCCTATTCATATCCTCATTTGAAGGATAGCATTTGGAAAATAGGTTTAGGCAAATGAGAATGTGTCATATGCAGATTATTGAGTCAGAATCCACAAGTAGTTAAAAGTCACCTGTTCCAGTAAATAGATCGCAAAAATGTGTCACGTGTAATCAATAGATGGCTAAAATTTGCTATTAAAAATAAAGCTTGGTATTCAGTGTTTTAAAATCTTACCTTGAGTGGGTTTCATATAAAAGTTTCCATGAACACTGTTCCTATGTGTGGGTGTCTGCATTAAAACGAAAGCCTTTCAGATATAAGGCTAACCTTTGCCTTGAATACCTAGGTGTGTCTGTGTTACAACATATACGAGGCATAGTTATTTCCTGGAAACTTTTATCATGTTTCATTTTATATGGCATTGTTTTTGGTAACATAAACTTTTGAATTGTTGCATGGTTTATCCACATTTTGCCAAGACTTCATTTTATGCCAGAATTAATATCCAGATTGATTTGTTCACCTATAAAATAGGTGAAAACTTAAACATTCAAGGGGAATCTTATAATTTAGCAGGAAGAAACTTTAGAAATTCTTTTGACCTGTACTTTTCAAACTTACTTGACTGTGACCCACAGTAACCAAAAAAAAA